CTCTCCCTCTCCCTCTCCTCTCACGCATCTCCTTCAGATCGCCAAGATTTCCCGCCTCTGCTCGTTGAACAATTGACTGCTGACGTGGTCGTGTCGAATGGACGGAACAGCAAGGGAGGAAGGAGGAGACAAGACTGGTTGAAAACGTCATTTTGCTCCGGGAGTTTTTCATTTCATTGCATTACAATCAATAACAGCATATCCCTTTTATTTCCCATGCAACAATGTGACGATACACAAAAATACAATGTTCTTGCAGTCTTCACTCGGTATAGCGATTATCATCACTATCCGAAAACTCTTGGTCTGATCTTACAAACTCCCCCCCTCAAATCTCACTTTAGTCTCTGTCCCCAAATACCTTCTCTTTCCTTCATCTGATTCTGATATCTGTCCAAAACATCTTCCCCTTTCCTTCAATCATCTCTTCTGCTGATTCTGAAAATATTTCTGTGCGTGCGACCGGACCTGAGATTCTGTTCTCGTCCCCACAGCCCTTGAGATCAAGTAAGCAACCCCCTTCCCCAGCCCAACGTTCTTCCTCCCCTCCACTGCTCTTGCTCCTGCCCCGGCTCCTGCTCCTGTCCTATCTCCTGCTCCTGCTCCTGCTCCTGTCCTATCTCCTGCTCCTGCTCCTGCTCCTGTCCTATCTCCTGCTCCTGCTCCTGCTCCTGCTCCTGATCCCGCTCTCTCCGCATCCGGACAGTACTCCCTCAACGCAGCCAAGAACTTCTGATGCTCCTCCTCAGTCCAGTTTCCAGTACTCAACGAGGGTGCCGAGCGAGCAGTGACAGAGGCGGACGAGGTTCCTGCATGCACCTGCATGGCGCTTGGCGAGGCCGCTTGCTTCATGCTCCATGCTGGGGCAGGCGAAACTCTTTCTCTCTTGGCAGCTACGAGGTCTTGATCAGCTCCTCCCTCCCTCCTCCGTCTCCTCTTGGTTCGCTCAGGGAAGTGAAATATAGCCTCGATCGCGTCCTCCAAAGGCGTCGGGTCCTCGCTCTGCCATGGACTTGGCTGGAACGGAGGGAGCGAATTAGCGCTATGTACGTGTCCTGCTGCTGCCTGATCGATCGCCCTTGAGATGCTGACGTTGCTCGCTGCCTTGCTCCTGGAGGAATCTCTTCCAAGGCTCAAAGACCGGGAGCTCTCCTTCTCGTGAAGCTTGTCAGGCTGTCCTTCACTCATTGGCCCCCTTCTCCTGTCATCCCAGATAAAATGCTCCCTCCTAGTCATTCACCGTCCTCCCACCCGCCGCATGATGCCGATCTCTACCTGTGTCCTTCACTTCTTACACCCAGTCTCTTCCTGATACTTTGAGTATCTTCTTGTTCGATCCTCCCTCCTCCATCCCTCTTGTCCTCGTCTTATCTGCCTTCCCGCAACCCACCCTCCCTGCTTGCGCCTTCCTGGGTTTTAGGATATGCGCGTTTAAAACTCTAAAAGATACAATTTACAAGCCTACACGTCGTCATATCGGAACAGTGGACGAAAAGACCTCTTTTACGAGGACATATATGTCAGCAACGCTCCAATTGCACCGTACAATCCCATGAGGCGGGCTTGACCGGACGAACAATCGAGTCAGAAGACCATGGGGGCAACATGGAGTCTGATGGAGTACCGTGTGACTGTTGAAAAGTCACGGTTTGGTAACGTGATTATATCCTAGAAGTTTATTTTTCTCTTTGATGACCAGGATGACCCACTACCCCAGCATTCCTAGTCAATTCATGGGGTAGTGGCCAACTTTACTGGTGCAATAGCAGGGTCACGTTCATTATTTCTCGAATATTTTGGCCTCTTCCCCTGCCTCTCCTTTACTCTGCGTCTGATCCTATTGACAGCCTAGCAAGTTCCTTCTGCCTTTCATTTGATAAATATCTCAGTCCTGGGGCGGGCTGGTAATATTCAAAGTGAGTAAAATACCTCACGATTGTCCAGACTGCCCATCGTCGTCGGAGAAAGATGGGCTCGACGACATGTCATCGTGTATTGTGACATCTGTCAAGATGTACCAGCACATCAGTCAGGCACAACAAGGATGCGAGTGCAAACTGTTACCGTGATGGTCTGTTGAGTCCTGTGTGTACCTTGTGTTCTCCGAGCGCCGGTCATGCTCCCTGTGTGGTGTGACAAGAGGCAACAAAAGTGCGGAAGAGAAGAAACGACATGTGATCGCTGATATGGTGATCGTCTTCCTTCAACTCCGTGATGTCTGTGTGTGTGTCCTCCTCCTGTCACGGCCGTCAACGACAGGAAAGGGGAGGGGAGGGGAGGCTCGTTACTTGATTCTCGAGCAAACTTGTCAAGGTAGTCGGAGAGAATCAAGAGAAGGTGTTAGGAGAGTGTGGAAAAACATCGCAAGGAAGGAAATTCGCAAGACATTGAGGCCCAAGAGGAGATTGAGCAACTGATCTCAGGCGTGTTTGCACGTGGCACAACTCACGTCATGCTACTCAACGCGTCAAGCTCGTCATCTTCAATCTGGAGATGCTTTTCTGTCGTGATAACGTCAGCAGTCTGAAAGCATCGCTGCTCCTGTCCTGACCTGCGATGATGTTCTTCATATGTCTCTTGAATTCTCGGAAGGTGATTGTACTGTTGCCGCCGCCTTCTCTCTTTGTAAAAGGTATGAGATTGTGTTGACGGCACAACAACAATTATTACCAGGATGTTGTCAAATGTTTGTCTTGCTTCTGCCTTGGACATGAGCAGTGGGATCCAACTCTTGGCCCTCAATACGAACTGAAAAGGTGAGGAGTGTGAAGGGATGGAAAATCGTTTTTCCCTCTGCCTCCTCCTCCTCTCCCTTCGATTCATCATCATCATCATCATCATCATCATCATCATCATCATCATCATCATCATCATCATCATCATCATCATCATCATCAGACATTCATCATCAGTCATTCATCATTGGAAATTCATCATCATCGTATGGTAGTAACCAAGGAGAACACACGGAGATCAAAGCGACTAACCATGTATTGTTCGAAGGTGAAAAACTCTGTCTTCTCAAAGCGCCTCCGACGAGTTGGCACTTGATTGATCTCATCATTATCTGTTGACAACTATTCAGCAACTCTGTCGGCGGCAAGTTCGTTTTGACCATGAGAGTACACACTCGCAGTCCTCGAAGGCTGGGAAGAAGAGCAGTTAGCACTTTTCTTATTTGAGAAATTAGCAAATTTCTTGTTTGAAAAGGTGAGGTGAACGAGGAAGGATTGAAAGAAAGCATACAAGTAGGCAGAAAAGAAGGGAGGAGAGAGAGAGAGAGGAAAGAACAGATGTAAGAATGAGGAGAGGGTTGTCTTGCAATTGATGGAAGAACATGGAAAGAAGAATGCAGGATGAGAAGAGAAGACAGAGAGGAGAACGGGAGAGCGTCAGTAGAAACGAAACAAATACAGTGGGAGGTTCGATCAAAATCCATCACAAAACTGACCGCCATAACAGACGAGAATTCGCTTCGAGTTTCATCATCGAAGTAGTGAGAGTCTCGCACGGAGTAGACACTGTCATCGCAATAGTCATCCCTCTTGCTATGCAACCAGTGAAAACTTCTTTCCTAGAGGAGGCCGAGTCCAACAGCCCTTCATGCCTTCCTACAAGAGATGTTCTCCTGTCAGGATAGCTGTTCTTCATGCTTCCCCTCCTTTGCTCTGTCATTCTGTCTGCAAAGTTCTGCAGGGGCGTCTGCGATCCCCTGGTGAGAAGTTTGAGTTGTGACAGCAAGACATGGCATGATCTCAGTCATGACTGAGAACCTGTAGGCTGAGGAAGGGCTGGAGAAGTTCGAGTACAGTTGATCTCTCTCTCGCAATCTTTGCAGACGGTTGTCTGATGTCAAGTGAGGACGGTGATTGCTGCGAATGAGGACTTGTAGCAATCACACCTGCGATCTGACGTAACAAATGTATCTCTTGCTCGTAGACTTCTCTTGGTGTGGTGGATTCACTGAAGATAAATGTGAGGGAGAGGAAGGAGGAAGAGAGTAGGAGGAAGAGGGTAGGAGGAGGATATGGAACAGGCGGCAGAGGTGGTGGAGGGGGAGGAGGTGGAGGAGCAGGAGGGGGGGTTGAGAAGCAGGAGAAGCAGAAGGAGAAGGAGAAGAGGGGAGAGGAGGAGCAGGAGGAGCAGGAGAAGAGGGGGGAGGAGGAGGTTGAGGAGGAGGAAATTGGAGGGCAGGATGGAGAAGCTGGAGGAGGATGAAAACGCTTACAAATCGAAGGACGATGCTTAAGATTACGACGCGGAGGACGACACCGAGGAGTATGCTGCTAGCACGAGTAGACTCATCCAAACTGAGCTAGACCTCAGCACCGAGCAAAAAAGGAGCTGGCGGACGCCGGACGAGCAAATGATGCTGGGACATGCAGGCATGCGAGGCGGCAAGCGCCCACGGTCATAGACACCTCCTGAGGACGAACGACTGAAAAATGATTCCGACGATCTCGCACCTCCCCATGCGGGTCATCAATCTC